CAGTTTGTATTTTCTAACAGTTTATAATTTTATGGGGCAACCTATGTGTACGTATAAATGATAAGTTATGGGATAGTTTGTATTTCCTAACAGTTTGTATACGTGTGGCCTTCGGTAATCAGCTTCTTAACTCCCACCGCCTATCAGATTAAGTTTTCGTTTTGATTCGCCCACTGGGCCTCCCACTAAGAGTTGTACTAGCGCACTACTAGCAATTGCCACGGATCTGTTGCAGAATGCGTCCTCTCTCATCGGGTTCTGCTAGGTCATTGACTGCAAGTCCGCCTGATTAATGCGTTATAAGTGAAGGAGGGTGTACCGCCCATCCTTTCTTCCGTACACACGTCCCCATTACCTATTCTTGCAAACGTTAAAGTGGCTTAACTTTTCTAGACACTGTGGTTATGATACAGGGTTATTCGTAAGTCCGCGAAACATTTTAAAAATTCACGCATCGGATCATGCTAATTCTCACGCCGATAGAGAATGAATCTCTCTAAGTTTTTAAAGGCCTCCATTGCCTCCCCTCGACCCCCTCATACCGAGGGGGTGGATGAAGCTATAACATTCAAGACTTTTATGGGGTAGATGCTCTATTCGAAACGGGGAGAACAGGAATGCGTATAACCTATTGGTGGGAAAGCGAGAAGGAAAGAGGCCTCTAGGGAGGCCAGAACGTAGGCGAGTGGATAATATTAATATGGATCTTAGAGAGATGGAATAGTGTAGTCTTGCATGGAGTAAACACGCCACAATATTAACATCGATCTTAGATAGTATGGGGTGGTATCAGATTGATCTGGCTCAGGATAGGGACTGGCGGAGGGCTCTTGTGAACACGGTAATGAACCTTCGGGATTCCATATAATGCTGTGAAATTTTTGAGTTGGTGCACAATTGGCAGCTTCTCAAGGACGGCTCAGCTGCATGAAGTTGTCGTGGAAACGTTCGACGTTGGCTGATCATAGAAATTTACTGCGTCGTTAACAAAATGACAAAAAATACAAGTAAACTTTTTTTGCCGGTCACGGTAGCCGAGCGGTCTAAGGCATGTACTGTCTTCGCTCGCTGGGAAGCCTAGATCGTGGGTTCGAATCCCACTCAGGGCATGGATGTTTGTGTGCGTTTTTCTGTGTTTGGGTACATGTAGAGGCCTTGCGACGAGCTGATTACCCGCCCAAGGAGTCCTACCGATTGTCTAAGATCTAGAAAAACCGAAGTGAACGGAGTTCATGGAGGTAGACCTAGGCCCACTGGGGCTGTAGTGCCAAAGGGGAAAAAGACTTTTTTTTTTTACTGTCTAGGTTAAATAGTCGTCATTTTTCTTCTGTCTTATATATCTTTGTCCACTTAAATAAAGCTGTCTGGTACAGCATATACTAAACATTATATTTAAAATATGTAATGTATATTGTATTAGATGGTTTTATTAAGCTGATATACTATAATTTTCCGTCACTTCGACGCTGAAAGAAGTGATAGGTCCCACCGAAACGTCGATAGTCTCACTAATCGACACAGTGCAATATGCAGAAGACTCTTATGATTATTTACACCCAGTTGTAAATGGAACATGCAAATAAGCTTGTATTTACAGAGGTTAACACTTCTACTGCCGTTTGTATCACTACAGTCGCTACCATCTCGCACTTGTCACTACTGCCAGTATGCCAGGATTACTACTACTACTACTACTACTACTGCTGCTACAGCCAGTATGCCAAGAATATTACTACTATTATTATTATTGTCGGTACTACTACTACTACTACTACTACTACTGCTGCTGCTGCTGCTGCTGCCACTACTACTACTAATACTACATGACGGTACGGATTTGTATAGAAGTGATTCCCGTATAGGCTTGTAAGCAGTCGAAATAAAGAAGAATAAATTGAAAGCCATCGCTTTTTAGACGCAGGAACACGAACACAAAAATATAAATTAAAGGAAAAAAGAAACGAATTGTCTAATGCCTGTTTGTGCGTGTCTTTCTTAATTCCTTTCATTAAAACTCACGTCCGGTTTTATTACCCATCATATAAATCACATCATAGACCCCCATAGCAGAACGTGTTTTATTAAAATGCGAGAAGAAAGAGAGCGCCAGCGAGAGGAGTGGGTGGGGTTTCTCTAAGGCAACATTCATCCTCAGAGCCAGAGTGAACTAACATAACTTCGAATCTTTCGTCAGGAGTTTTGATTTGATCATGAGATGTGTTTTACGGACCAGGAAAGTTCGGGTAAATATATTTATTGGAGCCCATCATTATGTCCCATACTGACTTACTTGTCCTTAGTACTTTAGGATCTGTTTCTCTGACATCCAGTTTAATATTGTCACGATATTGGGTGTGACTGTAGACGGGGTACAAATTGGTGAGCAGATTTTTTGACCACTTGTACACACCACTCGGAATTACAAGTAATTATAACACTATTGCTGATTTCCACAATACAAAACACTAGGACACGCTAAGTCTCCTCAGTCTTCACTAGTCGTAGTCTGGCAACGGATTTATAACAGTCTCACTGTAACTCCAGCAAGCATAAAGTCTTCAAATCACACGTTAAAATCTTCTCTTCACAGGCTGACTTTCAGGTCTCGACTGAACTCAAAGTCAGAGTGAAAGCCATGTTACCTTACGACCGACTGTCAGTCGGCCAGTCTGTCTTGGTGTCAAGCCACCGTGTGGGACCCAGTACGAAATTTTTATTACTGTGTGTCGCGGGTTTGTTGACGTCGTGCGCCTTCTCTGAACAGAGGACGGGTCTGTCGTTTACAATTGTTTCTGGTCCTCGCCAGCTCAATCATTCTCGGGTCCGAGTCCCGCGGGACTCGTGACACATTTTGCTGTCTCAAATTTGAGACCCCCAAACTGTAGGCCAAGTCCCCGTATTTTTATCTCCCAGGAACAGGGTGGCCCAGTTATACCCCTACGACTCGCAGGGCTACGGCGGAGGCACCCGAACCCTCCTGCACGCGAAGAACCCTCTGTTATTCTTGGATCCTCGGTATATAGCCTCGGGTCGGACCCAAGATAAAACACCGTTTCCATCGTTATAACCCAGCAATGCCTTGATTATAGCTTGCCTACTTGCTACCCCGGGAACCTGTTTACCTAGCCGTTGCCTAGCAACGTTATTCCGGTTTTTAAGCGTCATGTCACAATATTATCTTCCCATCTGTGACAAGTTTCTCTGATATTGGGAGTAAATTTTGTAGCAATTTCAAATCTCCCCCATCTTGCGCTCCTTCGTATGATCGTTTAAATAATGTTTACCGAGGAGCACAGATTATGAAATCCTCCAGGAACTCAGCCTGTATTTATACCACGAGGAATTGTCCGAATCAGGTTGGTAGCACTCCTGCGTCGTATTAGGGGCGTCGTGGATTACAGTCTCGGTTCGGAGACCGGATATCCTTACTGGGATGTTCCTGGTTTCTCTCAGTTCCTCTACGAAAATTCTAGCATAGCGCTTCAAATTAGGCTACGACTACTTCCTTTCCGGTGAACACGGTAGCGTAGTTGGTTGAAGCACTATGCTACAAGCCGGAAGGTCGCGGGTTCGAGTCCATATGAGGTCATTTGATTTTTCAGTTGCCTAATCCTTCCAGTCGAGCTATGGCCCTGAAGTCGGCTCAGCCTCTGACAGAAATGAGTACCAGGAACGTTCTTGGGTGTAAAGGGCTACCGGTGCGTAAGGCTGACAACCTTACCGCCATCTGTGAGCCAATTGTATAGAAAATGTGGGAGGCTCGACGTCTCACAACCCTATGGGCCTTCACGGGCTGTTAAGGGGTAACTTTAATTTACCACTTCCTTTCCACTTCATCAGTCATTATTATATCATTCGGCGCTGTAATCTGAGCTGATGTAGCGTCTCCGAACCTCTCTGTGTGATAAAATCCTGATGTTGCTGCTTGGAGTTGGGGTAAAGGAGGACAGTGATAGGGGACTACACGTGCTACTGCCAGTAATAGTATCTGTGTCGTCCGTTGTCATTTTCATGGAAAATTCTTATTTAAAAGAGAGTCCCGAATGTTATAATTTTAGTCTGTGTTTCTTAATTGGGGGGGGGGGGAAATGGAAGTAGACTGATGCAATCTCGATGCTGTCTGTACGTACGAGTATGTGTATCCCCCTTTATCAGTTTTTGAATGCCTGAACCAATCTTTATGAAGCTTGGTAAACATGTCGTAGCATCTGAGCCCATCTCGACGTCTATTCCATAAATCCCTACACTTTGGTCTGTGTGTGTATGTCCCTCTATCGTTGCTACGCAACGGCTTGGTGAAGAAAACTTTACCGCGGTAACGAATACACAGGCAAAAATAGAATTTTAAAGGGTTCTGACGATGGTGTATAACGCTCAGAATTACTCGATTTTTGGACTTTCTCCAGCCTTCAGACTTTACTTCACAGATGGCGCTAGCGGTAGGCACTGAATTTTTTTAACAATTTTTTCTATTTCTTTGCATTGGTGCACATGCATTTGGTTTTGTTTGGTAGATCTGTAGCATAAATTTCGACCTTTTCTATCCTAGTTCCATAATTGAGGAGCTTTTTCAAGGAAATAGCGGCTCCGGTCTAGAAAACCCGAATTAACGGCCGTGGGTATTCGTTGCGCTGACCACGTGACACCTTCTATCCGATAAAGTTGGCACTAACATCGCCGACAATAGGCGGGCGCTCGGTCGGTATAGTTCACTTGCGGACAAAAACCTCACTCAAGTGAGTATGTATCTTCCCCCCACTTGAGGAAGGAAACAGGCCCACTTCCCGTAACGTGTTTTATAGTTTCTAGAATAGTGGACAATGGACAAAATAGAAGAATTGTTGGCCGTGTCGTATATGTGGTCCTTGTCGTATCAAGGAAAGTAGTACTTATTGTTTCAGCATTGGGTGTTATGCTGTGTGTGGTTGGATTATGAACACGCGAAGCCCCTAATGCAACATGCAGTGAGCAGATAAGTAAGAGCGGTCGTACTGTTTCAGACGAGTCAGGATGCGAGGCTGACATGGCCGAGGGAGTCCAGGAAGAGGACAGCGGTGACGTAATGTTGGCAACAGCCACCACTCCTGCCACTGCCTCTTCTGGGGTAGCCATCAAACGAGACCCAGATGCACCGCTTAACCTGAAGTCTGAGGTGAGTTGGCCTTACTTACTCATGGAGCTGAGCCTTTCTGAAGGAGCCGCCAATTCTGCAGCTTCTCAAGAATTTCCCAGCATTTTATGGAGCTCTAAGGTTCATTGCTGTATTCACAAGAGGCTTCCACTGGTCCCTATCCTGAACCAGATCAATCCAATCCAATCTCTCTTAAGATCCATTTTAATATTGTCCACCCACCTACGCGTTGGTCTTCCGAGTGGTATCTTTCCTTCTGACTTTCCCACCAATATCCTATACGCATTCCTCGTCTCCCCCATTCGTTCTACATGCCCTGCCCACCTCATCATCCTTGACTTGATCATTCTCAGTTGGCCTACAGAAAGATTTAGTTATTTCTCATTCTCAATGTGTCACGTGGTGGAACGCCAGAATGTCGCCCAGCAAGCAGGATGTACTGTAGCTACTTTCTGTGTCAGTATAACAGTACGTAGCAGCTAAACTTTTAAAGGAAGGATAAAACTCAAATTCTAAAGATAAAATTTACTCAGGGACTGGCGCACTCGTCGGAAGGATTATAGAAGAAAGAATTAAGACTACATTAATTGTTCCGTTATAATAAATAAACATTTAATTCACATGCAATTACTCACATTTTGATGACGGTACCCAAATTTGTGGATAAGTAAACATTGAAAGCCTTCTGAATGAATAAGTAAAATAAAAAAAAGGTGAGGCTATCCCTGGAACAGGCCGCCCATAGGGTTCTGAGACGTCGAGGCTCCCATATTATTTAGACAATCGGCTCACAGATGGCGGTGAGGTTGTCAGCCTTACGCGCCGGAGCCCTTAACTCCCCAGGAAGATTCCTGGTACTCACATTTTCAGTGTAGACGACAAGTGTATCTCTGATGATCTAACGAAGCACACTCCAGTGCAGTGTTACGGTTGTCATTGCTCCTTTGCACATCGCTGCACCCACATCTCATTAAGCTCAATTTTGTTACGGAAGGATAATTTTTGGTTCTCAGTTCAATTCTCTAGCGATTCTCTTTCAGTTTTCTAAAGCTATTTTCTGTCCGTACAAAAGACAATGGACATACATATATGTGTATGTAGTAATTCAGTGAAAATGGACTCATTTCATAATTTACACTGTGAAGGATTATCTGAATTATACGTGGTGTTCACAGTACACGAGGAGTCTCTCGTGTTATTTGTGTAGGCGATTATAAAGTTTGCATTGACCTTCCTCTCTGGTATGTGTGTTGTAAAATTAGCGCTACGGCGGGCAAAGTTATGCACTTTGTAATGACGTGTGAGGTCAGCTTCAGTGTGTAGTTTCGTTTTGGAGTTAACAAAAGACTTCATGGAGGAAGCTTCCTGCTAACCACTGTTCGGAATGTTTGTTCCATCTTCTCTCTGTCACATATTTATTTTATGCGGATTTCATATTCGTCTGTCAGTATCGTTGATAATTATTATTCAGAAATTATTTGAAATTATGTAATTAACCAACCATCTAATGAACGAACTAATTGATTATCAAACCACAATTTCAAAAAAGAATTGTAGCATGTATTTTTTTTGACTAGCTTTACAGCCCCCTTGGGCCCTGGCCTTTTTTTTTTGTTTGTTTCATGATCATTTTACGGACGGTGGGACTCCTTGAACGAGTAATCAGATCGTCTCAATGCCTCTATATAACACAGGAGAAAACAAACACAGAATAAACACAAACGTACCAAATATACATACCTTGTGTGGGATTCGAACCCACGATTCCGGCTTCCAGGCGAGCGAAGACAGTACATGCCCTAGACTGCTCGGCTACTATGACCGGCATTGTAGCGTGTATAGCCGTTGCTATGCAACGACCACGAGATGGCCAACGGCTCGGTAAACACGTTCTCGTGGAACGTTACTCATGAAACAGAAAATTTGATGTTTCTGCGCGGTCCACGCTGAGATGTTATAAGCAAGGGACAATGTCAGTTGAGAGACAGTTCAGTTGTGAGACGGTGGCCAGCCGGGAATTGCTTGGGCTCGTCAAGCTGAAGAATCTCCACTGTTAGAAGCCGTTACCAGGAAAAAGCTGGTGAAGACACATCAGGCTGGAAAAGACTTAATGAGTGCTGTGGTGATTAGCGGTAACGCTGTAATTACTTGTACTTATGAGTCGTGTGTATAAGTGGTCAGTAAATCAATTCGCCAATCCAAACCCCGTCTGTAGTCACACACATACATGACATTATTCTGAGTGTACCTAGAATTATGAACTTCAAGCAAAAGTAGACGTGTACACTCATACCAACATCAGTTTTCTCTGATATTTACCAAAGTGCCTGTTTTGTGTCTTGCGAAATGGTATCGGCATAGTGTACTGTTTCTTGCCACTAGGAATAAGATCAAAACACATTTTTGCCAAATCAACTAAGAAAATGACATATAAGCGCAGTGATCAGAAAACAGTTGTATGGAATTATGCCTAGGTGAGGTTGTTAGATATATATATGAAAGACTCGTTTATAATAGTATTAAATTATGTAAGATTTGAGGCTTTCACGGCGGTGACTATGAAGAAAGCAGTCTTCTGGGATGTGGCACCGTGTATATGTGGTGTTAACCGACGTTTCGGAGGAACATATCGCCTCCATCTTCAGGGTAGAAGAAAAAATATAAGAAATCTCAAGCAAAGAGACCGTAAGGTCTCCGAAACGTCGGTTAACACCACATATACACGGTGCCACATCCCAGAAGACTGCTTTCTTCAGTATTAAATTATGTTTTGACATTTAACCTGTAGTAATTATTGTGTATATTTTTTTTTGTAACTAGTTATTAACGGGTCTGAGTAAGAGATAAGATGATAGGGCTAACCTGATATCTTAAACCTACAATTATGCGTCAGTGGTTAATAATTACATTCGAAGTTTTATTCGGAGAGAATTGTTATGTGCGTTTATTCTGGAACTTCTCAACATAAATTGTCTGTATAGTATGTAGAGAGAGCGACAGGTATTGAGCTGTAAACTAGCGCGAAGTAAGGAACGGCGTTCCCTGAAAAAGTCTCCTTTTCTATTCCGATTATTTAAATAATTTAACAAAATAACAAAATTATTGCCTTCGTTAAACTTATCTTCTGTTTTTAATTTCATGTATTCATCATTTTTCGTGCCTGCACTAAATTCATTTATGATTCATATGGATTGATAATAAAAACTAACTGATTCTGTATTCCTTTCGAAAAGGATCGTAACTTAACCCCATGTATAACCGTACATAAATTGATATAATTTTCTGTGATATCGATAAATCAGGGTCCTCATCAATTAAACCATTTACATGTTCGAGGCTATAGGAGCCGGGATAGTGCAGTCGATATAGCGACTGGCCACGGGCTGAACGATTGAGGGGTCGGAGTTCGAGTCTCGGTAACGTCAACAATTTTCTCTTCTACACGTCTTCCAAACCGGCTCTGGGGTCCACCTAACCTCCTACCCAATGGGTACTGGGGGCTGTACCAACTTGAGCTTGGAAAGCGTCTCATCATTTGCGGAAAGCCAGAAGAAAACAAAGAGAACCTGCTTCCAGATGCGTACCGACTTCTAGCCGACAGAGGTTCCGTGAGGTTTCCCTGGCAAGCCTATTTTTGCTTTGTTCGTATGAAAACATTCGGAATGATAATACAGCGAGTTTATGCTTTGAGAGCGAGAACTGAGGAAGAACAGATGGACCACTCTTCCCGTCAAGTCACCCCTTAACGCCTGGGGTCCCTTGACGGCTACTCTGATTACAAAAATCACCGTGAAATGAACACCAAAAGTTTCGGCGACTTGGTTACTGTAACTGCTTAATATTCATGGGTTCGTGCGTTCGATAACTGGCCACGTTGTTCAGGTAAATACAGGGGTAATACTGTTAAACACACTTAACATTTCATATACAGAATGTTCCATAAGCATATTGGCACCAATATGAAGATAATATATGAGACATTATATTCGTTTGTGTTAATTTTCTTCATTCATTACCCTCTGTACCCCTTAGTATGTATAGATCACGTTTTTTTGACCTCGGCATTAGTTGGAGGTGAGCGGTTAACTTCACGGCCCGGCCGCTTTACCTCTGGGGAAAGAGCTCCAGGTACTTGCTGGGCCCCAGAGCCGGTCTGGACGACGCGGAGAGGAGAAAATTGTTGACTCTACCGGGCCTCGAACTCCCACCCCTCTGCCGTGCAGTCCGTAGCTAGTCGCTGTACCGAAACCACTCCCCAATACGCCTTCATGGCATAGTGCTTAATTAGCTAAGCACAGGGACAACTTCACTTTTATCTACCCCCTAGCGTATAGTGTCCGAGAATAATTTTACACAATTGCGTTTCCGTTGTTCAGCGTTAGAGATTATGTCTTGGGGCTAATGGCAGACATTTTGAGCATGTTTAAGAAGAAAAGTTCGACGACGTTACCATAGTGATATTTTGCTTACTATTGTAGTTTTCTGAACCATGCTTGTTGAATGGAAAAACCGAAGCACACAAAAAATATGGTCGTATTATTCTGGGACAGTCTGTACTTCCGATTCACCTGCAAGAATTCCATAAGCGCAAGTGGATTGTGTTCAGAATTCCTTTATAAGAGGCTAACAAAGATACGAAGCGTTCTGTATATCGTCACACGTCTCCGCACTGAATGGGCGGAAAGTGTAACGTTTGTAGCACCGAGTTCTGCCGGATAGAAAACTGTTGCCTTTATGACACCGAGCCTTCTTTCCTGATGGGTAGAAACTCTTGTTTATAACACCAAGTATTCTGCTGTAATTGACAGGAAGTAATGTGTCACCGAATGTTGTGTTTATAACACCAAGTATTCTACTGTAATTGACAGAAAGTAATGTGTCACCGAATGTTGTGTTTATAACACCAAGTACAAGTATTCCCTTCTAACGGATGGAAGCCATTGCATTTATAACACCGATTGTTGTAATTCTAGTGTAAGCAATTTCCTTTAGATGCCTCTATTTATAGTCTTGCACGATAG